TGCATGACAGTACTATTTAATATATCTGTGGTTTTACCACTTACCTATGTGTCAAGTACTGTCAATGTGTATGTTTTCCTCTATGCATCTACCATGGTTGTTCGAAGAAGATGGCTAAGTCGATAGTACACTAATATTGATCTTTGTCGCAAACTTTGTCGCTAAAAGTAAGACATTGCTGGTATACAGACTATTGTGGCGATAGAGGAAAAGTATCCGACATGGGCAGCAAACGGGGCTATCCTGCATGTCGCAAACTATGTATTTATTGCCTACTTCGTCTGCTAATCTCTTCTCTAAATTCCGCCTACAGTCGCTGTTGGTACAGACATTCGCGTACAAGGGAAGAGTTTACGACATACCCCGAAATCTGGTTGTAATATTCGTCACGTCGCAAACAGTGTCGTTAATTCCCTCGTCGTTGGCTGACTTGTGCATGCTGACTGTGGATCACTATGGCCAGGATCATCTGCCATTTGATTGGAGACAGTTCGGCACCCCTAATGCTCTATTGTGGGACCCTTACTACGAGGTATGGACACGTTTTAAATGTGACGTAAATCATCTGCAGCTGTCGTAAACACCTCCCTAGACTATTTATCGGTCCGATTAGAATAAGCTCGTTACACATAATGCTCTGCTGTGGGATCCGTAACTACGAGGAGTCGACATGTTTTATAGTGTAAACTATTCTATAATTGTCGTAAACAACTGCCTAGACTATATATCGTTCCGATTGGAAACAGTTCGGCACACCCGGCACCCTGGTATGGAATCTTCACAACGCGGTTTGGGGATGTTTTATACTGTCGTAAAATATTTTGTAATTGTCGTAAATTAACCCAGGCCAATGGTCAATAACTCCGTACACCTAGCATTCAGCTGTGGAGTCCATGTCACAAGCTATTAGCATGAAATAGGACATTCAAAGGTTGCTGTTATCGTATAAAAAGGCGTGCGTGTACATATGAGATATGTTTCTCACGCATACAGATAACTAAAGTATTGTGAAATTACCATGGTGATATAAAGGTCCCGACTACTTTCACTCCTTTTCAATTTCAGCTCAAGCGACTGCGACGAAAATGTCGCAAAGTGATCGTGCCATCCTGGACCCACAAATACATCCACGACGTCTACACATTCAGCACGTATGTCCATATATATATATATATTTGTATATAATAATATAA